TCAGCCTCAATTGTGACTCCACATTTTCTGAAAAAAATGTGTTCAGCTGTAGTGAACAAACTCAGATCTCAAGGAGCACCTGCAATAAAACACAGCCATTAAAACTCTTAGAAATGCACTTTGAATCATGATGCCCATAAAAATTACTACTACTACTACTACTACTACTACTACTAAAGACCAGGCCCTCATATAAGGCTTTCCGTAAACAGATTTTAACATGCTTTGCAATATTTAATGTACTTATCCTCACAATAGGACAATGCTATTATTCCCATCTTACGAACAGTGAACTAACAAAGAGACTGACTTATTTAAGTTCTTACGAACTTTGTGCCAGGACAAGAAATAAAACCCATGTCTCTGCATCCTAGCCTACAACCCATCCAGTAAAGCAATTAAGTTCAATATCCTTCTTTCCTTCCTTACCTGCAGAGTCACAAACTTTTTCAGAGAGCTCTATCCGAGCATAGCGCTGCAACTCAGGACCTTTTGTTTGCCCAGTTACACAGTACCCTGCTGTCTTCCGCATCTTTTTATTCCAGATGATTTCCAGTTTCTCTGGTAACTGAGAGAAAAATAATGAAATGGTGCATATCATCTGCACTCTCCCAACAAACATCTCTTCCTCAGGCTTTTCCCTGGTATGTGCTTTTAAGCAAAAGGTGTTTATCCATGCACATTAGGACTGAGATCTGGGGGGAGGCAAGGTTTAAGGAACTCCTTTTGCCTTCCCCACCTCTTTGAGGTTGGAAGGCTTTGCTCTCTCTTGAGATGGACCACGTGAAGCAGCTGCTTGAAAGCAGTTTTAAGCAAAAACAAAATAGCAGTGAAACCAAGTCAGCCATATAGTTCAACTGAAGAGAAAAAGTAGTAAGAGTTAACATCTCCAAAACTAGCTGTTGTCCCTGGTCATGTTGACAATCTCTTCTCCGAGTGCTCAGAGGAGACTCTCACTGTCACTTAACCAGGCTGTCAAATCCTTGATGAGGGCAGCATCCCATATTTCCTAAACGTTCAACAAAGGCTAAAGCCTTTCCTAGGAGACTGAGTAGGGAGATGACAGTGGCTGGTTAATGGTGCTTACAAGATTTTTTCAGAGGTTTAACTATCAAGTTTAAGTGCAACCTTCATAACCTACACTCTCCAGTTTATTGAGGCTTCTTTTTAAACCTTTAAAAAAAATCAGTTCTCTCAACATAAAGACTATCAAACTGATCACGTTCCTCAATCTGACCTTGTCTTGTTCTAAAACACCCGAGAAGGACCTTCCTTTCAGACTCTAGTACTGCTGCATGCAACTCTTGAGATTACAAGTTCCAAAACTCTGAGCCAGGCTACCCCTTGCTACTGGCCTACAGAGACCTGGCTGATCAGATTGGTTCCAGCTTTTTTTAAGTGGGCAGCTTAAAACTGATCCGATCAGGGCATACTGCCACAAAGAGCAAGAGATTACATTCCAATGCCACAAAGATGACGGCTATCCAAAACTTGAGCATACAAAAATCAAAAGCCTCCCAAAAGCATCCTAAATATATTACCATCCCAATTGCTTTTCTAAGCAAGCAAGGAACTCATTCCATTTCACAAGTATGTGATATGATCACAAGTTAGTCTTGCAGTAAAAATGCAACAAACGCAGTAACAAATTTGATAGTTGTTTTTTTTTTTAAATTTATACCAAATAATATCACTAAACAGTTATCTATGGCTTTGCAGGTCCAAAACACAGTTTTCACTACACATTAAGGAATATGCAGTTGCCCTGTGAGACAACTGGATATTACTGCCGTTTTATGACTGGGGAAAGCGGAGGCTCAGAACAATGCAATTTGCCTGCTGTCACCACCCAAGTCAGTGCCAACCTGCGACTAGAAGTTAGGTCTCCCCAACTGTGATCATTCCTCCAGGCCTCAGTGCTTTAAAGCCAAGTTACTTTTGTTCACGTAAGCCGGCAAACTAGTATTAGCAGGTGTATACGTTGGGTGCATGCTTTTTTGGCCTTTTGAGTCCCAAAAGCATACTATGCAGGGATGAGATTTTGGGGGCCAATACCAATACCCAATATTTAAGGAGGCACACAAGTCCGGTGAGATGGAAGGAAAGGGGAGAGGGAAGGAGTGTTGGGGGGGCGAGGAGGGGGCGCGGCGGCGACGCTCGGGCAGATCAATGCCTCCCACGGTGAGGGAGGGGGCAGGGGGGGCAGAACCATGACTTATGGAGCAGCAGAAAGAGGAGGTTCCCGCCACTGCTTGCACCCTGGGAAGGCACAAGGGGGCGTGCTCCCCCTCCCCCCATCTACGTGGGGCAGAGTGGGGTAGGTTGCAGCTGGGCTCTTCTCAGCGGGGGCTGGGCTCAGAGCGGGCGCTGGCAGTGCTGGGAGGATGCTGCATCCCCCCCATATGTTGCCGCCAGTCTGCTCCCAGTGCTGCCCTGGCTCTTCCAGGAGTTTGGGTAGAGGCGGGGTGCTGCACCAGGTGGCTGGCAGCGGCAAAAGTGGGGGTGGATGCAGCATCC